CAAATGATGCTCTATATTCTTGTATCGATAATACTATCAGTCCCATCTCTAGTTACACGTAAAATAGCGCAAAATCGAGCTGGAGAGTGTGTAAGTGAGAGTAATCGTGCAAGCTTGCGGTGTATGCGTGAGAAAGAGGATCGTGCCTGGTGCTTTGGATAAATGTTAATTTCACGCGTGTTCAACTGTTCACTTATGGTACTTAATGTACAGATGCGTACTGTCGACACCTTATTTTCGCTACGATATAAGAGGCTGAGGAAAACGGCGAAGAGATGACGGAGCGACGAAGAAAAAACAGACAAAATCACGACGCGCGCGACATTCTCCTCGCATTGCCTGCTTCTAACGCGTCGTTTAGTAGTGCAACTCGGGCGAGAATGCGCTCGTGGTGACCGAGAAAACGCGAAAAACAAAAAAAAAAATGGTAAAACGAAATCGAAAAAAAAGCCGACAAAAAAGATTTAAAGAAAAAAACAGAGGAGTTTTTATATTTGTTTATAGGTGTGTGAGAACGCTGCACTTCTCGAGCAAGTTGTTAGTGAATTCCCTCCATATTGCTATTATATATAAAGGAAGTTAAAAAGGATGCAAAAAGAAAACAAGTCGATTTCTGTCCGTAACTCGAACTTCGGTACACACACAAACACATACACACACACACGCGCGGTCACGCGCGCTTTAAGGGTTAAACGCTACTATTTTAAATAACGCTAAGTACAACGCTACAAACAAAGGTTTCGCCTATAATTATCGATTAAACAAACTACACTTTATTCTCATTATTAATTAACATTAATTATTATTCTCAATTACTATTAATTACGAGTATAATTGTTAGTGTTCTTATCACACGTTTGTGGTTACAATTCGATACTGTACTGTACTTAACTATTAATAACGCGAGAGTCGCTGAACGCTAGTGTACACATGGAAATATTTGTATATTCGAGAAACGTTCAGGGTTCGATTCCGAAACGGTTTCCGTATCGTGCCGGTTGTTCGCGACAAACCGATACACAGAGGTTGGGCGAAATTGTGTTAAGAGACAAACGGACAGATGAACGACGAAGAAAAAGAAGAGGATTGACGAGTTAAGGATACGGAGCTGCCCGTAGAACGTACTTAAGTGTAGATTAATCGAACGTTCCCCGTTAATAAGCATAATCACGGGCGGATGAAGAGGAGACGCGCGCAAAATGGTGCGGAAATAATACATACTCGGACGCTTAATCGTTACATTTGTAACCCGTTCAGTATTCGACCCTCTATTGCACGATACAGCCAATTGGAAACACTGTTAACCCTTTGCTCTCGAATGGTTTCGCCATGGCATGTCTCAGCATCTCCTTCTCACGTGAAAGTGTTGAAATGGTCCCTGTCAAGCCCATCGAAGAAGTTTACAGGATGTATGCTTTCATATAGGGAGATCCAATAACTCCACGATCAGTTTTGTTTAAAGTAGAGAACGTAGCAGTCTTGAGCAAACACTATTAAATTGATCGATCAATGCCCAGTGTTTCCCAGAATTTATTAAGCTGGTAATCAAGCCTGCCAAACTGTCTCACCCTTTTACAACTACAAGTTTCTCTGTTAATACTTATCCTTCGACTTAAAAGTTAATTAATTCATAGATATATAGATAGTTAAGAAGTAATTTCTTTTTTCAAAATGCAACTCTGTCCACGCAATAGAGGGTTGACAGCCCAGTGGGGAGAAGGGAGTTATGATAGTGAAATGAAAACGAGACCAGAGGTTATCCTCCAGTCCGACGTGTCCCTTCAATCCGCTGTGCCAAAGTAATTTTCCAATCAATCGATAAAAGTCAATATACACGCGATATCGTAGAGCGAACCGAGCGAACAGGCACGAGGAAAACGAACCACAGTGAAATAGTTCGGGAAACACGTAGCGAGGGAACCGTAGATCGCTAAAAGAGCGAGATTCATCGAGATTCATCCGCGTCAAGTAGCGTTTTATAATCGTGAGCCCGTTTCTTATGATAAGCGATAACGATAAACATTGTACAGCATTCGTAATGCTACAACACAAACTGAGCCATCCGCTCTGGATTAAGCTTAAGCCCATACGGTTCGCGAGACCTGTTAACGCTCTGCCTACCGGCTTATTCAGGCCTAGTAACCAAAATTCTATAGCTTTTAAATGAAACCTCGAACGAGAACTTTCTATGTTGGTATATATTAATATGGGCTGGCGTGCACACTGTAGCTATTACAAGAGCTTAGTCTGTTTCCCCGTATCGCGAATTAGAAACCAAAAACAACGTTATCCCAACGACCGCAGACCTCCAGGCTCTAGTGCTTAGAAAAGCTTAGAGTACTCGCACACGTGAGTCGTCAGCGATGGTTGGGTTGACAGGCTTTCGTAGGTAGGCGCTAGAATTAAGGTGAAAAGGTTTTCCGGTAGGCAAAGCGTTGATCGCTGCAGTTGCATTTCTTCAAGACTGAACATCGTTCCGCGGCATTGTATTTCGACTAATATCATCGCCACACGTCACGTCGATCGTAATTTCGAGCCAGCGTCCTGGAACGCGTATCACAAATTTTTCGATTAGTCAGACGAAAATAAAAAAAAAAAGAGCAAAGATGGAAACAGGAAAAATAGCGTCGATATGGCCTAACTTTTTTCACGGATTCACGGGCACGATTGTGTAGATGGATGTAGCGAGCGAGATGGAACGAGAAAGAAAACGAGGATCGATGTTCGATCGGCGATCAAATGACTGCAATTAATTAACCTTCTAAACGAAACCTCGATGCTTGTCTAATATGATTTTCCGATACGTAAAACGAAGTCAAAATGAATAAGCCAAATTCGTAACCGCGACACCCACGTCGATCAGTCTCTTCGTCGACGACACGGACGACGCAGGTTTACTCCCGGCACCTTTTAAGAAAGATAAAAAAAAAATAAACAAAAGAGTACTATTAAGTAGAGGTACTTAAGTCGTTGCTACATACCAATATAAGCTCTATTGCTTATTTTATACTTAGTATTATCGTAACGTTTCGATTAGAGGTAACATAATGGGAAAGTTGTATCTTAGCATAAGGTAGACTAATCTGTAAAGATAAGTAGTCAAATAAATGAAAAGTACATTTGATGTTGGAGACGGTTTTACTTCTTTACTTTCGATCTATGCGCCAAATCTTTCGATTCCACATTTTGATGTTATTTTAGACTGCTTTTTATATTATGTTGCATGATGCAATGGACTTGCAGCTCCCCTACACAGGAAAAGGATCACTTTTTCTAATGAAACAACTTGTTCTACATGGTACCGATTTATTTATTTCGTTCACAATCAGAAAGAGGCTACTGTGTGCCTGATTATATAGCACAGATATACATACTCGTTAGAAAATGCATACTATCACCGGTACCGGGTGGTATTCATTTGATTCGTCAGTAAATTTGGCTAAATACGATTACGAATATCACTTTCAAGATCAGAGTCAGGACCGGCTTTGCGTGAAAGTAAACGGTGCACCGTATCGAGTCATCGCCTCTGACTAAGTGTATTTCTAGACGAAAACGCAAATAAAACAATAAAGACAGAGGACAAGACCACCGTATCAATGTAGCTTTCCAATCAGATAAAGTAGAGGCTGATCGAATTATCAATGAGAAAGCAAACAAATGTATCCAGCTTTCCAAACATCCTGATAAGGCTGATTACATTATTAATCAGCTTTCTAGTTTAAAGACAACCAAAGTCAACTGGCGCAATAACGATTAAATCTTGGTCAATACATATTACTCTAACCTGACTTAAGTAACATTTAATCATCAATATTTCATAACTTTGAAACATATTACTTTCAGCTGAAGAACCAAGGTTTCATTTGTTTTCAATTTTTAATATAATTTTAAATAAAGATCTCTCTATTTGGAAGTTATACCAACGCCCTAGAGACTCCAGTGCCGGTCCTGATCAGAGTAGACTTTAAACGAAGGTCTCGTTTCTGCTAGCTGCTCGTGTTGTCGCCTCTCCCCCTCTTCAAACTTCTTCTCTAGCGAGATTGGTGTCAGCCCGTTTCGTTTGCATCGATTGATATGTATGCACGCGCATGAGACATTGTTTTTTGTTCGTCGGTCGATCGACGACATTATCTGCGGGGGAGGATTTCGCGAAAGGTTGCTCGGGACGACTTGTCTCGATGCTAACTCGAACGACGTTTTGACGTACAAAATAGAACGACGTTTTAACTCGAACACCGACGCTACGCACATTGAATACACGGGAACGGATACAAAAACGCCAGACTAAAGTTGTCGGTACATCGACGAATACAGGACAGTTTTGACTTTAGATACATCGAGTGTCGTTTTTAGCTTCGACTAACGCTTGTCCGTATTCAAAATCAACACAGATCGAGTTGCAATCGATTTGTTCGCACGGAATAGTATCATATACCGTGCCCCATAGTCGTATCAGAATTAACGGAAGCTCTCAAAGCCATTGCTATCCTCACTATTCCTCGCAATACAAGTAGATTCTTCCTTCGTAGTCAGCTTTATCGAACGACTGCTCCAATCGTGAAATAGTACATGAATTGTTCTTACGAAAGTTACAGTAAGCTCAGTCTGTAGTAGAACGTTTTGATTGTATGAAAAATACAGCGATTTGTATCTCTTTTTGTTGGTGCGAAGCGATGGGCATCGCTGGAGCAACAGACGAGACGAGAAGTCAGCCACGAGCCAAATTGACTGGACACGGTTTTGGTACCAGGACGTTACAAATATATACATCGAGGATTAAACTATGAAAAGCATACATGTGCGCCAAGTTTATGCTATGCTACGCTACGTCTACTACCATCTTGGCACATTTGTTTTGTTTCACTACTTATAATATCACCTATTCTTAGGTATCCAAATATTTGTATTTGTTCACTTGCGATTGTATCATAATATATTTGTCGATATAGGTTGGGTATACTTTCAGTTAGCAATGGGCGTTCGATATATTCGGTTTCAAATTTTGTTTATAGATGTCTTGAAAAGTTTTGATAGGCTCGATATGTGTTGAGAGGAAATCATATCTTATACTTTCATGTTTGAAATGAAGTATTATATTACCTGTATTCTAGAACAGAATGCACATAGTTTGCACGCGAGAAGGACGCGTTTGAACCAAATGCAATCCGCGCTAACAATACATAACTACATTTATTCAACTTTATTATTAAAATGTTGAATGGAATTTTATATGTAGGTCCTGTCTGCTTCTAACTAGTCAAAGACTCGCTTAAACAAAAATGTTATTCCTCATTTTTATTTTTATTTTACATGAAGAATCACTCCCCAGCTGTATTACGAATTTTGGCCCTCTCTAACTGTCAATTATCGATTCTTCTATATTCTTCATCCTGCATCCACTGTCCAGAGACGCCCATGCACATCCAATTCTGTACATTCTGTGTGTCGCGTTATAAATTGAAGTCTCTGATCGTTAAGCAAATCGAACAACTATCAGTTTCGTGGTCGACTATAATATCGATAGAGCAATTACGCTATTTCATTCTATCAGCCTGTACTTCAATCGCACACCAAGTGTTCTCGAATTTGAAACGAGTGCGTTCGCTACACGTGCTCCGAATCGATCCTTCTCTATCAGAGGTGGGACAAATTTTATTCGAGTAATAGATAACGAATATAATCAACATATGGCAATTTATTCACGACGTCCACTTGATCAAATAGTTAAATTTTGATTTGTTCAAATATTTCATTCTATAGTTCAAATTCGTATTTTATTTCATTCACACGTTATTCAAAATGTTTATTTAAACAAGAGTTTTGGCCATCTCTGTTGTTTGCTTTACGATGATTCGCACAGTACACACGCATTACTACCGAGTACACGATCGAGTGTCGAGCATCCATCATACATCTACGTTCTTCTCGGATCACGTTTCGCAGGCGTGTACAAATATTATTCTCCTGTGAGATGAAAAGCTCTGCACTGTACTATGTATGAAGGGAACGGGTAGTACCACGATAAATATAGAAGAAAGTTTCTTTAATTTTGTTATGGGTGTGCCTCTCTCTGATTTAGAAGGTAGTTACATTTTTGACACCCATGGTAGATTAGATTATTAAGTCAAAATGAATATTAGTTGGTCACCTTTTACCAATTTGTATGATATGTTTTTTTTGTGCTAACGTAAAGCTATGTAAATTTATAAAGTTTATAGTACCATAACAAATTTATAGAATATTTATGAAGTTATATATAAAAATTGTACGAATTTCTAAAGAATTATGATTAAAAATATTTACATATTTCCTTGATTCTATGTTTGAGTGTTTAAATATCTGAATATGTTATATAGAGAATAATGGCAGGATATACATATATTCGTAATAATAACATTTGTCTTCAAAAAAACATTTCAGAGAAGGGAAAGGTCCCTCACAGTGTTTAACTTCAGAGCCTGATAAGTTAGGTGAGGACATTTTAAATATCTGTGGGATAAGGCGGCGCTAGTGTCGCGGCCTACATAAGTTCCAGAGCTACTCTGCTCAGAAGAGAATGATAGCATTCACGCTTGCTTTTGCACCTGTCCGGGAATCTTATCACAAACGGTGCCCTTCGACGAGCTTTATACCTAAACATGTTTATATCACTGTAAATAAGTACATTTGCGCAGAAAAGTGACTGGGGAGCGTGAATTAGTAAACATCTATTTTTTGTTTTGATTATTTCTTTTTTTTCCTTTTGGTTATTTTGTTTGGTTTCGCGCAATACACAACGATACAGCGTTACTGTTAGGAATATTGCTATTTAAAGTCTAAGGAGAGGTTTATCTGGTAATATGGCTTATTGTCGTTAGAACGTTCTCTTCACGGTTTCATGCGTAAGTTGATCGACAGAAAGAGGTATTCCGGAAGCACGTAAGGGGAATTTGATCGTTGCAGGTCGAAGACTCGCGAGAACCAATGTCGGAAGCGATTAGTATACGTATATTGTTTCACCTGTATATAAATAGTAGGCAACTGTATGTATAGACGTATACTTGACAGTTTTTTGCGTGTCTAATATTTTTGAACACCACTGTATGTCTTGCATACAGTAGAACCTCGATAGCTGCACGTGTATTTCGATGCTTGCACGGGATGACAAGTGAGAGGGATGGTTACCTAGCAACAAATGACGTTAAGTACGATCCATACAGAATAGAGTTATATATTTTAAGTAGGGTCTCTAATTCTAATACAATGACTACCTCGACACTTACATGCATCTCAGCAGTAATGAGACAAATTTCATTTGAATAATACACCTTATTGTACAATAAATAATGGTTCAAAGGTATTTTTCGTTCGTTATCCGGCAATCTTCTAATACAAATTTGTCCGGATATCTACAGCTCGGTACTTTCACAAATACTTGTCAACGCCATTCTCGCGCAACTATCGAGGTTCTATTTTATACTCGAACGTATACATTGTTGTCGTGTTTCCGTTACTTAGTATATTGACGAATGGGTTTTCGTAATGTATCTGCTTTTTCAGCAATTTTGAACCTTATGTTCGAGACATCCAAATAATATATCTGAAATCTACAGTTACAATCTCCGAATAAAGCTCTGTTCTCGAGGTAAAACGAGCGAACAGATGAAAATAATGACTTTCATCGCGTTTTAACGACTCTGAAACAATTTGAACTGGAACCATTGCACGTTCGATCGGTCTTTTCGCGACAATCCTTTTGTCCGCTGTGCAACAATCGCGTCGGATTGCTGTGTTGGCTATAGCGAGGACCCCATTCCAAACGCTAGTCCGTTGGACAATTATCTTTTTCAATATCGTCCGTGAAAACTTCATGCGTCGTTCGACAATCGTCGCCCGGTGTTATGCTCGCTTCGTTCGATCGGACAGCAAGTGGGGCATCATCTTTTGCAATTTTACACACCGAAAGCTATCGAGGGTCAAACAGTCGGCGCTTTTATATACGGGCCTTGTACAAAATTGATTCATTCACAACCATTCATCGAGTCAAATATATATGTATATATATATTTCTCTCTCGCTGATAAAATATGACGAGTATAGTCGGCAAACGGTCCGTATTTATCTGTATGCACGAAGTCAGGTCCAGCCTGGATTCGTTTATGTTCAAAAAATAAACCTATTCTATCTTTTTTCTCATTCTCTCTCTCACTCTCGCTCATTCTCTCTCACTTTAACTTTCTCTCCTCTTTTTTTCTTGTTTCTTTATTATTATTTTTATCGTTTGTGTTATTTTTTTGGTTGCTTTTCCTTTGTTTTTGATTTCAAACATTCGATCGTCAGGATTACTTTTGAGCAGCCTCACCTTACCTTCGATTCTCTATTTTATACTATGCTTCTCAAACATTCTACTATGTTCTACTACTTGGTTTACTATTCCACGCTCGCCGTATGATTATATTTCCAAAGCACAGAGTTTTGTTGTTTGTTTGTTTGTTTGTTTGTTTGTGTTTCTTCGGAGCCATTTGAGATAGAAATTGTACTTAAGTCAGTCAAGCGGTGTGCATTAAATGACGACAGAAGGAAACAACGCCCAAGCCGACGTCTGACAAAAACTGCGACTTCCCGCGAAACTTAATTCGGCCGTGTTGTCTTCATCTGGAAATTTCAAAAGTCGGACATGTACTGGTTCATGTCCATTCATTTAAGGGCCAAGGATTCCCATGGCCACCTTCCACTCCATTTTATGTAATCAGTTTAAAAAAAAAAACAAATATTTGTTGCTTCATATTCTGCACCATTTTATTGTGAAAGGAAATTCTTCAATTTTTGAACACTATAAAGGCTAACAAATCTGAATGGTCAAAGATTTTCTTAAATACGATGCTTGAAACCACATGAAACTAATTTATTTCTCAACGAAATAATTGCAAAGGGTTAGAGGGTAATGCTCCTAATACTCACCTTTTATTCAAGCAACTCAGACTCATTGGAAGCGGCTCCGAATTCACAGATGGAACGTGACCAGCGACCGTTTCCAACAGGGTGTACCATTGCGCCACGGGATTTTTTTTATTATTCAGCATCTGCAACCAATGGTCACGACCGACGCCGATGAAACTGGAGCCAATGGCCGTGCAGCCCATTAATTCGTTCGATCCAATCCTTAACAGAAAATTAGACGATTGTCGTTCGTGACTCGTCGATCTACCTATAATTCTTTCAATAATCCCTTCTCGCTCACCTGTCGTAATCGATTACTTTTACTATGAGACTGACGTCCTTGATGTTGTCCTCTGGCACGTGGAACACCAGACCTTCGTTATACACTGGGAACAACGTATTCTTTTTCACGGCTGTCTTCTTCTTTTTGATCCTTTTACCTTGGCAGAGCAGGTCCACCTTCACGTACGGGTCTGGAAAACAATTTATTTTATTTAAACGTGGTTTATTAATTATTCACGTATTTACGATTACACAACTAATTATATACAGCTTGAAACAAATGTGTGTACGTATGAAGTGATTTGAAGTTCTTCAGAAGCTTTGTGTTACTCTTATTTAATGAAACTTATTTTCCAAAAAGATGATATCACGATTACTATACATATTTAAAAAACTTCGTCAGTATACAATACGCAGAACCGATTGTGCTCGCTTTTATTATCATCCATGTATCTACTTTGAGGTGGAAGTAAGCATTTTTTCACAAATGCTCCTGCTTGTTAATTTTTAAGGTGTTCGTACAAAGCGAGACGCGTATTAGTATGCAAATTTGATTATTACTATGCGAATAGTAATAAAGCAATAAGAGAAGGCAGTGACTCAATACCTAAACAAACAACACTGTCATTACGTTGTAAGAGAATCAACGTTGCGCAACGCGTCGCAGATCCTTCCGCGAAAGCGTTCTGGTGCAAGACAAAAGAATACCGAGAACAATTGAGATAAATTTACCAGATGATCCTGTTATATCCATGGCTTTCAAATTTCTAGCCTTAATTATGGTCACTGTTAGCCGACCAACTGTTGGTAGGTAGCAGAGTGACAGCATCAGCTCTCCTAGGTCCATTTTTTCCTGAAAGACAATTAACGCCATGGTTCAGTTTATTTTCATTCACTTGTTGAAATCAATTATTTATAGCCACACCAATTAGAAAGAATACAGAATTTATTTACTAATTGACGTTACGACCCATAATGAAAGGCTGCTTCGGGATAAATATTTAAAGTTCAATCAAGGCTTTTCAAAAAGGGGCACTAAAGTATTCCTTCATTTTAAATATTTAATAATTTAAGTTACCTGCATAGGGCACATGATGTTCATCGTGTAGGGGATTTCTTGCTCAAGGTCGGTGCACTCTAGTAATCCCTTGACCACAACCTGACCGATCAGATCGTGTCGAGAGAATCGATCGAAATCGTAAACGGAGAATTGAAGATAGCGTTCCCTCAGTTCCTCGTAGGACACGCTGTTGACAGATGTTAATTTCATCGGCATTTGTCAGGAAATGAATCCAATGATTGCTCGCTGTTAAACTTCTAGATTCGAGTGAATGAGCTGCACTTACCTGAAGATGAATGTCTCGTTGAATACGGGGTTCAAATTCTTCCTGTGCACTTTCGTATGATACTTCTTCTTACTATCAGGTAACAGGTATATCTTTATGTAAGGATCGCTGCTGCCTGTCACGTCTTTGACTGGTAGTTCTCGAGCTTCCAAGACCTAAACGGGACGTTACGTTTCATTCAAAGGTTGCCCTGTCCATCGAATCCAAATAGTAGGATAGGAATAAGTTCATTCGCGATAAATTAAATTGATTGTTCGTTATTTTTCTTAAGAATTTTAAAATACAGAGTCTGTCCCAAAAATAAGTAGAATGACTTTCCCGTCGACGAAAATTGGGGGATTCAAACAATTTGTGGTGAGGAAGTCTTTTTCAAAAGACTCGTGGTCTAATATACTAAATACTTAAACACAGAAACTGATAATTAAAATAATTCAAAAACTACACATTACGGTTTCAGGCGCGAAAAAATAAGTGAGAATTTCTTCTGTTCTCTGGATTAAAATTTAATCTAATCATCGCCGTGCTTAATCTCGCGCTTGTGCAGCATATTTAATTCCAGCTATTTAATTCCGAATATTAGCATAATTGCGCGGTCAGAGATGAAAGATCCAGTTCTCCGCGGGTAGCTAATCGTCCGCGTTCCTTCATCTCCGTCCTCGCGTAGATTTATGAATGAACCGCGACGCGTACACGCGTTTCGCGCGTTTATATTTCTATGTCAGAAAACGTGGGTGCCCTATTTAGAACAAATTCAATCTCCTCCGATCTCGTTCGTACGCAAGAACGGCAACGTTACCCAATCGACGTCGAGTCGTAATCAAACGGATACTGGGGACGCGAGTGTCCGTCGCACGAGCGCTGCTCGTACTTCATTATCGTTATCCAATAACTCGCGCTAAATATGGTGGCCACGTAATTAGCCAGTAGAGTGCAATCGTGAACTGAATTTGCCCACGCGCGCCAAGTGTTGCGAAAACATTTCTACCGACGCACAGTGCTTCGATTATGCTTGTGCCAGAACCGATGCATGAATTTTGATCTTTTTTCTCTTGTAAAATAAGAACCTAATAATAATAAATATGATTGTTTTCGTTATCAGAATTGTCATCTAAAAAGCCATGCCGAGTGCAACCGTATTTCCTGCAATTTGGAAAGCGAGAAAGCATCTTAACGAGGACGAAATTAATTTAGTCGACTCGCTTAAGATGTTCTCTCTCAAATCTCTTCACCCGTAAGATGGAGAGGCGAATTGGAGAATTTTATGTACAGAGTAAATTATTTTAATTTATAAATGAATTTATCATGGAAGGTGCGTTGGATTATGGGAAAATTCTGAAGACATAGGCTACGAAGAATATCCAGGACGATATTAGCATTTCGCAGAGGAAGACCGGGTAGGTGGAAGCGTCAAGCGTCCACAATCACTTAAGTTGATTTAAATTGAACCTGTAGCTCCTTTAACGCGCGACAATTTATAATTAATTCGCGTAGGAAATTTATAAATTGTTGGCGCAGAAAGTTTATAAATAGCGTTAATGTAACAATGTTAGAATATATATAAGGCAACAGTGTAAAGTTCAATATACTTCGAACCCTTTGCCCTACAAATGAGGTATGTTTTGCTTTTAACTTTTGTAACATATAAAGTTATGAATCGCGTTATGGTTAAATTTGACTTGTCCCATTTCTTTTTGCACTTTATAAAACTATACTATTTAAAATTTATTCAACAAATGAACGTATATATTATTGTTTTTCAGTGTCATAGTTGATCTAAGAATGCTCGAAGTTTTAAGTAGATTATGCTGTCACTGATCACTAAATAACTTTAGATCTAATAGAAAAATTAAAATGAAATGAAAAAAAATGTTGGATTTCTGCGAAAAATACCGTTAGATTATAATTTGAAAGTTTGATTTTGTCTGATGCGAGACCTTCAGGTCAACAGTGACCGAAATAGCTAAATTTTGATCCAAGTTTTATGACTGGGTCATACCTGAACGTCGAAAGAGCACGATCGACGGGAAATTCCCAAAAAAGGGGATTGCAGTGAAACAACAATATGACTCTGGGCTTTTTCAGTTCTCGTAGAAATCCGACAGTGCACAGATCGAACGACTCGGGTAGACCGAGCTCGCACTATTTTTTTGTAAAACGCCTGTATTTCAGTCTCGTTTTGTTTCTTAAATATATTACACCAAGGAAGACTTAAAACCTGCGTGTTTTATTTAGCTAAATATTCAACAAAAAGAAAAACGTTTTTAACAGATCGTAACCTTCCGTAATATTCTCTTTATGCCTCGAGCAAGTGTCTTAAATCTCAAAAGGACGCTGAAGTACGAGAATGATTCGCGTGATAGCATATGTGAAATTAATTTCACCTCCTTCGATTAGGCCACCTTGGATGCCTTTTATGCGTTCTCACCAACGGGAGAATTTTTCGCCAATCGGCGATGACGGCAGCCTTGGGACGCGTAATGGGGTTTAATCAATGCGGTCGCACGCGATCGAATATATCATAAACCGAGACCGATATAATTCCGTCGAAACTGGAACGCGAATGTCGGTCATCGTTTGCGCGGGAAGCATTCATCTCGCTGCCTCTGTATGTCCCATGTTGATTTCGCAGTTACGTGCGCCGCTTAAAGAAAACGCCCACGGTACAGCATCTGCTCGATCATGGTATTCGTTCTGTTGCGGAATTTAAGATGCCTCGAATAGCGCGTGATATCATACGTGATACTCGTCACTCGATTAAGACGTTTAATGTGCATTCCGTCTTGGATTACACATTCGAGACGGTTTCAGTGAAGTGGGAGATGGGTGAGAACGATGATAGGAGAACGACGATTGCTAATTGTTTCATTGTGGGCGAGGGAATCTCCATGGTATAGCAAAGATAACGAAGGGAGAAGTAGATATTATATTAACAGATTGTTAATCGGCAATTTTACATAGAAACGACTTCATGTTATCGGTTATTATTTCGTAATTGAATGTGAAAACAACCTAAATAAACTCCAATAAACTTTATTTATATTTTACCAACATAGTGAATTGAAATGAAATATTATACATACTGAAATATTGTAATAGTATATTCTAAAAGACGTAACAGAAATATTCGAATGTTTTAATAAAATTCGAATACAGAAAAATGTATCGTGTAGCCCCCTCTATCTTTGCTTTGCCTATTTTACAGCTGTGTCGTGCAACATTTGTAACATTAACTCTGCCAGTATTCACGCAACAAATGTAAATCCATTAGGTAAATCGTAAAACTCACTTTAACGACTAGCCCCTCGATCTCTTTGTCATAGCGAAGAGCGAAATGCAGCCTTCCCGCGTACTCCATTTCTATGGTGCTGGAGCTCTCGGTGCTCTCCTGCCTCACCAGCTCCTTCTTGTAAAGTTCTGGCTGCAAACCGTGGACGCGAATCGTTAGAAAACTTCGTGGAAACTGAATTTGCTACTCTGTTTCGTTCGCCAGTACTTCCGCGGGGGGTTTGGGAAAGAAAAATTCTGCTTCGGCTTAATTGCTCGACGCGGAAGTTAGCCTGAGAAAATTGCGGCTAAGGAAACGAGCGAACGAGCGTGGCTGTGTATCGCGGCGCACCTTAATTAACCCGAGGCTCGAGTCGCTGTGATTCTCCAGGCTGCAGATGCTGAACTTGATGTTCGGCAGGTCGAGCCGATGGGAGAGCTGCCTTTGAAAGCTCTGGTGTCTCATCGGCACGATGGGTAAAGTTGTCTGGCGCAGCACCTGGAAAAAGAAAATCATCCTTTCACGGGTCTGTCGTGTCTTAATATTTCAAGACCTTTCCGGAAGTACGCCACAAAAAACCTTCATTAACCAACTTTAACCGCGGAAGTTCCTCAAGCGATCCTCTCGCTGTATGAAATCTTTATTCGCGTGTCTTTTATTAGATGATACCGTCTCGGAGAAGGGAGTGTACGAACCAGCCTGAGTAATACGTTCTACGTTGTATTTTAACATTATCGGTGGATTGTGGTCAAATTTACGCAATATACAATGAAGTTAACATACTTTTGTTGGAACTTAAAATGTATACATGCTCATTCATAAATATATGTGAACACTTACTACCTTCAATGTGTAATTAATATACACTGTAAATTATTACTATACACATATTGTTGCTAAATTCTATATTGGATGTGTATTTAACAACATTTAATAATATTAAATATTTTGAGTGCCATATTCAATTTTATAGTGGAACTCTGGTTCATAGAAAAGTTCAGAAAGAATGTTAAATGTACTAAAAACATTAATAGCATAAATATTACAAAATAAATGAGATACTGTTACTTCGGATAAAATGAAGAAAGTAATAGTATCCAAGTTTGATCAAAGAAATGTTAATATTATTTAGTTATCCCTGGAATTTGTTATCATTACTAATGTGATATTAAATAAAAAACTATTAGTAAAATGTATTCGCTAATACAACATAAACATATCGAAACATAAATGATATAATCGATATTAATAGATTTGCAACTTTTATTAGATATTTATTTCTATTAAGATAGTGTTCACATACTTCCGAGCGGGCGCACATTTTGTATAATCGTCCATTCAAAGTAAATATTTAAGAAAGGCATTGAATTCTTATTTTTCAAGAAGAATTCCAGCTCATTTCATCTTAAATGCGTATATCAATCACATTTAATGTTGACAGTTTCTACAGCGAAGCTATCACTCCAACGTCTTTTATTCTCTCCAAGAATAGAAAATCGCAATATTAAGATATTTTCAAGTGCCTCTCATCGTCGATACCTTTTTGTTGTCCTTTTGCTCCTGAACGTACTCGTGAGTGATTGGCTCCGATTGAAGATCCGGCAAGGAATGGCTGATACGTATAGCGTTCTGCTGCGATAAGTCGCTCTCGTTGTCTTCCTCCTTCATGTGCCGCCTCACCCTCATTAACCATCGCCAGGTAAACGAACATTGGAAACTCACGGCAGCCAGCAAGAATAAAGCCATCAACACTATTCCCGTTCCTACTAACACCTGATATGGGAATGTTTCCGTCCATTCTTCTGCGAACAAATTTACACCACGTTAGCCACGCGAATGTTCTCAATAAGCAAAAAAGAATCCGCCTACGCAGATTCATGTTCGCCTTGAAAGTGAAATTTCAAACTAATTTAGTGTCTAATTGTTCAAACCCTTCCTAATTTTTTTACTAGCTTGATAGTTCAATGAATAATAATTCATTGACAGTGTAGGTAAAAGGCCGTCAATATTTAGTCCTTTCAGACCTGAATTATTCTTTTTTCGTACTAATGTAATTTAATTTTTAGGGTTAACTTGGACTAAAATTAATATAAAAAAAATTAAAAAAAGTCCTAATAGTGTAGTATAATGTAGTATATAGACATTCGACCTAAACGATAGCGTCGGTAATTTTTAAATTTTATGTCCTCAATTGTAAACGCCAGGTCTGAAAAGTTTAACAGTTTCAAATGTGTTCAAATTGCAAGGACCGTATTTACTGTACACGCCTTTTAAACGATACGTTGTGACTCATTTGCACTGTGGCGCAACAGCTTCTATCGTTCAACAGGTAAAAATTTCGACTTTTTACGACTGGATTGAGCAACGAAGAAGACGTACGCGGAGAGTAACGTTTAATAATTAACGAGCAATGCAGTATTGTGCACGCATCCTACGAAGGAAGAGAAAGCCAAAGGGATATGCGACTCATTGTCAGCCGCTTCGTTTGAATAGGCGAACAGCGACGCCTCGTTCGCGTGGCGTCGCGTTTCCTCTTACCGTCTCCATTCACACTGTTCGCTGTCGTGTCACTCGAATACGTTTAACACGGTTTACAAGGGAGCCTCCTTGATCATATCGTTACTATTTACTTGCTTACGAATAGCAGGACGTGCTAGAGAACAACGACTGAAACGGAGGAAGTAGAAGTGGAAGTCACTGGTCAGACACGGTGGAACTGATGGAATTGAGGAGTTGCAGGATGAATTTCCAAAATTTATAGAGCGAAAAGATTGAAATTAAATACTTTTATAAATATATATAAAATACATTTGAAAACTCTGTTCTTCGTTATGATCCAAGCGAATTAATTTCAACCCCATTGCAAAAATGGCACACCTCCAAGTTTGCCATTTGCAAGATATCGGTAAGAGAAGAAAGGTGTATGAGAATTCATAGCTCTTGATAACGACATTATACCTTTGCCCCAGTTCAATACTTTATCGTATCATTTATCATTCTGATACCATGTCCTTTTTAATCATTCAAAACATTCAATGTCCTGTAGAAAATTGTGATTTTTTAGCATATGTTATCGTAGTTCTAACTCATTTGTTCTCTCTCCATGAATAAAGTATTACACTACTGTTCAAAACATACTACAGCAAGTATTAGGTTGGTGCAACAGGAATTGCGGGTTTCAGTTTGTAAAACTTTACCGTTTAAAATTTTCAGAAATTTTTAAATAAATATTGGCACTGTATATATCATTCTGAAGCTTAGAATCTGCTCTTTATTTCGATAACAAATATGATATGATTGTTGTTGTTATAAGCTATACTTTGAACATTTCAGCAATCATAAAAACGAAGCAGTTACAAGGAATATTTTTGTACATATTTAAAAGAAGTCGAAAAGCGAAGGAAATGGTTCGCAATATCAACGAAGTTTTTGATCAGAATACCGTTAACGAACATACGTAATGATAATGAGAGCCTTGATGATGAAGTAATCGACCTTCTGATGCTGACGGAGACCAATTGAAGGCCTCAATTGAAGCTGACCCAAGCAAAACTACACGAAAAGTTGCCGAAGAACTCAACGTCGACCATTCAACCATTGTTCGCCATTTGAAGAAAATTGGAAGGTGAAGAAGCTTGGCGAATGGTGCTACCGCACCAATTGTCCTCAATGACAACGCCAGACCGCACGTCTTCAGGATGACGCGCCAGAAGATGCATGAGTTGGGCTACGAAATTCTCGACCATCCACCATACTCGCCAAACCTCTCCCCTACCGACTACCATTTCAAGCATCTCAACGACTCCCTGTGCAAAAAATGCATCAAAAACCACAATGATGTAAAAAATGCCTTCAACGAATTCGTTCCCTCAAGGACTCCAGAATTCTACGCGGCCGGGATAAAAAAACTTGCTCCTTGTTTGAAAAAATGTGTTGATTCTAATGGTTCTTATTTTGATTCATAAAGTCTATTATAAAAAAAGTTATGATCATTTAAAGCTAAATATTAAAAACCGCAATTCCTTCTACACCAGCCTAAAAATTAAAGGGTTAATGGAAGCAGGAATTCCTTTCAGATGGCAGATTCGCGTAATAGTACAACGAACCGTGGTGAACAATGCGAGGACGCTTCATTAGTTATTCGCGTATCTGTTTGCAACGAACAATTATCACCTACGTAGTTCCCCTGCGCGATGACGCCCCCTCGCGTTCCGATTTCAATTCCTGTCCGCGGGGAATTTGTATTCTCTCCTTCATTTCAGTAATTACGTTGTTCCGGTGTGATTCATCGACGTTTGAAGGATTTATGCGTCGCGGTGGACCACACATCGATCCATTAAAATTCTATTCCTCCCGAGACTGGAACGTTATTAGTTAAACTACGGCATTTGACTAAATGAATTCACAGCCATAAAATACAGGTTGCATCGGACCCGGTCTAAGTTATTATTTTTATAATAAAAAGTGATATTAGATATGTTTTTTACATTATATTAAATTTTCATTCCTCTTTTCTAATAAATCCTAACTCAGAAGGCAATAAAAATATTCGTTGACCAATTGTTATCAATCTAAACTTGTAGCGCGAACTACGAGATCTCTCGCAGTTGGCAGTGAATGGGTTAAAGCTTAGCAAGTGGTCATCCGTTATTTGTTAAATTAAATCTGGAATTAGATAATTTAATTTAGTTATTTAATTTTGTTTACCATCTCCTCGGCTCAATTGCGTCATTTTCTCCTCTGCTGTCGATAAACACTGTTCTCGATTATTTCCCAACTGTCAACATTTGAAACAACAGTCACGATCTCATCGACGATTATCGATCTCCGGCGTAAACAATTCCTCCACCTTAATCTGTTTAACGTATTCGGTGTGCTTGTTCCAACGATAGGTACCATTTTCTGAGAAACGTACGTGCCGCCATTATGAGTCTATTAGCGTTCTACGCTTTCGCGATCGATTCCGCAAGAGATCCTCGATTGCCTCCGCCTCGTGTTTCGACAATTCGAGAACCCTCCCAGAATATTATTGCGGCCAAAAAATGAGTCGACCGATCAAATTGTTCGACCAGGAACAGATCTTCGATCCGAGGTCACGAATGAGGACCTAGGTCTGATAGTGTTTGGCTCTTTACCAAGGTCTGATATCGTTTGGCCAACTTGTTATGTGTGATCATTTTCCGTCACGTATCGAACTCAATATTCCGTAGAGTAAGGCGAGGAAGAATCAGCCGAGGTTTGCAAGATCCTGAGTCTGACCTAACATTAGAAACCTCTGGAAGTGCTTCCCTCGAATTTCCATTAAATTTTAAATGTAACACGTTTTTTTTTTGCGCACGAGGACCATGTATCCCTCTTTGATAAGAAGCAATGGAAGTATTTTCCTAATTTGCACTAATGCGAACAACGATTCATTTCTTTAAACGTCACAGGTAAATCGTTTTAAATTGTTTTCTCGTGTATTCCATATTTGTTGTTTGGATAAAATTGAATTCATCTCTGGGGGAAAGTAAGATCCAGTAATTGCGTGACGGAGGTGATAACGAGTGTAAAGGTTCAGGCATTAACTCAATTTACGGTTTGCTTCTTCGTCGCAGCACGAGTTTCTGTGTACATGGTTAAGTGATTGATGGGACACAGAGGAATGATGCTTTCCACCGCCATTACCTGACTCTTAATATTCGTTAGCGAACGACCACCACGGTAACAACTACATTTTTCAGTGATCTCGTAAAACTCCGCGCAATTGTTTTAAACCTCTGACACGTGAAATGTTTGAATACGAATTACTAAAGTGACAGAAATAATAAGCTTCTATGTTTGATCTTCGATATCCAATGAATTGATCGTAAAAAAAAAAAGAATTCGCGAATGAAGTACAACGAGTCAGTTTATTTTACATACGCAAAGACTCAATCTTCGCAGAAACCGAACATTTCTCCGCACGAACGCCGACAAAAGGAATTTCGGATCTCACGGAACAAAGCTTCTATTCGGGGATTCCGGAATTCCCCGTTGTCAACCCGTGCAATTATCGATTCACCACGCTTTTCAATCTTCCGCATGGTTTCCCAGCCAGCCTTGACCCCCGGATCCCGTTGCGTGGGTTGCGAGGCCGCTGAGGGTTGTTCGTGCGTACCATGGCGTATACCTTTTTTACGACGATAATAAGTTTGGTTCGAGGTCTGTCTTCTACTAATCCTGGTTAGGCTCTTGGTAGAGTTGTATTGAACACCAGCGGTAACAAGTAACCCAAGAGAAAACATCCTTAGGTTTGCTGACGACGTTGAACGGGGCTTCAAAGTACCAAGTGCCTTGGTTGGGGAAAGGATAACCCAATGATCCTAGGACCTAAGAGCTTCTAAAGCTCCAAGGCCTCGATCTCTGAACTCACATTCATTGTTTTTGGTTAACGAAAAGGGTGGAGCCACTCTAAGCCGATGAGCATGTTCGTCGGTGAATCGATAAATTTTCGTTACAGGTGCCGCAGAACCTGGGCGCAAGCCATAAGCTACTCGATTTCATGGTCATGGTCCTATGTGACGTAATGACCGCCCCCGTGACCAAATATCCATTACCCTGACCTTACCTTTTCAGAGAACCATACAATTTCGAAATGGATACCTCGTCTGTCACGTCTCATCTACATTTCCCGCGACGATTTAGTCGCCATTTCCAGCTATTCCATTCCGTTTGTATTAAAACGTAAAATCTGTCCAACGATGACAGAATTTCTATCTTAGAAAAAAGAATGAAGAAACCTGAGTTTGAAAAATCGAGGAAGAATAGATCGGAAATTAAT